GGGGGGGGGGGGGGGGGGTCAGAATTGGACACAACACCGGTCTTTGATCTCTAGGGTCAGACATCAGGTTGCAGTTCTGTTTGGTGCCACTGGTCGGCGCAGGAATCACACGCTTCACCTTTAAGTGTGTAATTCCACCATCCAACAGTAGATGGCAATGTTCGCCCTCAGAACTTCACTGACGCCCACACAAACTCCAAAAGCATACTTCTATTGAATTTCTGTTGAGCCAAGGTGTATTATACAAATCTCAGACAGAAAAACAAAAAGAGAGTGTGTGACAGAGAGAGAGAGAAAAGAGCGATACTAGAAAGAAAGAAGCTCTCTGTAGTGTCTTCTCTGACTGTTGTTGTTCCTCAGTCCTGAGGCGAGCTCAGTCAGATTCTCAGGATGGCCGGTGTTGTGGGCTCCACAGAGGCAGCACATCACAGGGGAGCGCTGAATTTCCTCTGCCTTAGTCACGACTTGGATGGACAGCGAATTATTCCCTCAGCGACCCTGTCACACATCGCTGTAGTGCACTAAAATTAAAAGTGTTGGCATTGTACTCTTACAAGTGCCCGTGTTGGCCTTTGGTGAGGCAGAATAAATGCCAGCCAGTATATTTAACTGAGGCGTCGTGACCTGTCTTGTTGCAAAATGTCAGCCTGCTACCAATTAGCATAATACCTTAGTTTTCAGTCAATAAGAAATGCACCTTATTTTAGTCTTATTTTATTCCTGATAGTTGATATTGTAATGGAATTAATTGTCCATATGCTTTAGAACAGGGGTTTTTATACTGGGGTCTACAATTAACGCTGGGGGTCTATGTAACAGTCTAAAAAAATTTTTAAATAAAGAATAAAATTAAACAAAATAAATATACTATGTAAAAAAAAAAATATATATATATATATATATATATATATACAATAAATAATACATGTAACGTGCAATACAACAGTGAATAGAAAAAGTATGTCATAATATTTTACACAGATTTGTAATATTCATTTTTCACGGTATAAATTGGGTCTTTATACATAAAAATATTTAGCTGCTGTTTAAATTTTAGGATGGGGGTCCCTCATATGATCATATTTGGGGTCTGTGGCATCTAAAAGAATGAAAAGCCCTGCTGGAGTAATTTAAATCTCCATAAGCGTATTGGCGAGTCAATCAGTCGAGTAAAATATCAGATCATTTTATATTTTTTAATGACAAGACAAGGTTATTTCAGGCTGTAAAATGTCAAGTGGTGCGATTCCCCCAAAACATGGTATTTATATAATGATGATATTTAATATATTCATAACATTAACAATTCATTGTATTTCAAAAACAATAAAAATAATAAAATAAAAATAAATAATGATTAAGATTAGAGTGGTATTTTTTTCCATAGTTATTTTAATTTTTTTATGTATTATTATGGTCTTTATGATTTTCCTTGTAATCATCATATACATTTGAGTTTTTCTTGAAAATGGTAGGCTATAGAAGTTGTTCAAAACCATATGAAATGAACACGAATACAAAGAGTACATTTCTAAGAATCTGGCATGTTTTAAACTATAGCTTCTTAAAAGATTGTTCCCTTTCTTTATTGTGAACACTCTTGTTTGTCATCCACTCAAATGCTAAAGTATGTGAGCTCAGAATAGTTCTAGTTTGTTTATATTAAGAGGCCACTTAAGCGTATTGAATTCCTGATTAAAATGTGTCCAAAGCAGCCCTAGGCACACTGAAGTCAACTGTTACACTTAACATGATTAAGACATGCACTCTGGCATCCGTGTGTCTATCATATTAGAGTGTG